TATATATATACCGTGGAATACTATGCAGCCATAAAAAAGATGGAGATGTTACAGCTTTCATGTTTACCTGGATGGAGCTGGAATATACTCTTCTTAGTAAAGTAACTCATAAATGAGGGGGGAAAAGTATCCAATGTACTCAGTACTATTATGAAACCAATATACAATGACTTACGCACTCATACAAATGATAAAACACAAATATAGTCCAGCAAGGGGGAGGGGAGGGCAAACGAAAGGGGAGGGGGTGGGGAGGGAGATTGGTGGAGGAAAGGAGGGCATTTGGTGGGAACTCACTTAATGTGCACAATGCAAGGGTATATTTCAAAATAATCAAGAGTAAATTATAAATGTCTTACCACAAAAATAATGTGGTAATCAGTTTGATTTAATCAGTAATAATTATGTTAATCAGTTTGATTTAAACATTCTACATTGTGTTATATGTACACCATAGAATATTATGCAGCCATAAAGAAAGATGGTGACTTTACCTCCTTCTTGTTTACATGGATGGAGCTGGAAAATGTTCTTCTTAGCAAAGTATCTCAAGAATGGAAGAAAAAGCATCCAATGTACTCAGTCCTATTATGAAACTAATTTATAGCTTTCATATGAAAACTATAACCTAATTATAGCCCAAGAATATGGGAAGGGGGGAAGAGAGAGGAGGGGAGGGGGGGAGGATGGAGAGAGGGAGGGTAATTCGTGGGATCACCTCTATGGTTTATCTTACAAGGGTACAAGTGATTCTTTCTGAAAGTAGAATATAAATGTCTTAACACAATATCTAAGAAAATGACATGAAGGCTATGTTAACCAGTTTGATTAAAATATTTCAAATTGTATATGAAAACACCACACTGTACCCCATGATTGCATTAATGTACACAGCTATCATTTAATTTTAAAAAATTCTACATTGTATATCAAATCATCATATCATACCACATAAATGTTCACAGTTACGATTTAATTAAAAATTAAATTTAAAAAAGAGAAACAGTATGGAGATTTCTCAAATACTAAAAATAGAACTATCACAACATTGAGAAATTCCACTACTGTGTATATATTCAAAGGAAAGGAAATCAGTCTATCAAAGGGACTCCTGTACCCCCATGTTTATTGCAGCACTATCCACAATAGCAAAGATATAGAATCAACCTAAGTATCCATTAACAGATGAACAAAGACAATGTGGTTCCTATACACAGTGGAATACTATGCAGCCATAAAAAGGAATGAAATCCTGTCATTGGCAGCAACACAGATGGAACTGGAGATCATTATGTTATGGGAAATAAAGCAAGCCTAGGAAGACAAATGTCACATGTTCTCACTTTTATGTAGGAGCCAAGAAAGGTGAGGGAGAGTATAGAATAACTGATACAAGAAGCAGGTAGGGGAGAAGATAGGTTGGTTGATGGATACAAACATAGGCAGATGGAAATAAGTTCTAATATACAATAAGAACTTACTACAGTAACAGTGTAAGGTGACCAAGGGGAAGGACAATGCGTAAGTATTGTATGTTTATTTCAAAGTAGCTAGAAGAGAGGTGTTGAAGTGTCCCTAACAAACAGAAATGATAAATGCTCAAGGTGATGGATACAAATACCCCCCCCCCACATCATCATATGTGCGTGTAACAAAATATCACACATAGCTCATAAATATGTAAAGTACTATGCAACAATAAAACTTCTTGAATGAGAAAGTACCTTTTCACATGTAATAATCTTAGCTAACAGCTCTAAAGTACAAGGAAAGTAGAAAGGAATTCAGACATTTCCCTCAAAACAGCTTTCCAAGTTTTATTTTATTCAGTTATAACCTCTAAATGAAATTATTCCATGGTGTAAAATATTAAGTTAAACATAACGGCAGTTTGGAGCAAAAAAACAGGACCAAGCTGAGAGTTCCAATTTGCATGTGGTACTACGCAATTATTTTTATGACCTACTTTCATACATTTTTAATGTGACATAAAATAAACTCTGCTGTCAGAACTTCTCATCCTTCCTGCAATTCTGAAGCATCGCTGGTGGCCTCCCAGAAAAAGAGCTCTGTTCTAATCATCTGGCAGAGCATCCCATCTTCAAATCCACAGCCTCTACATTTAAAGCACAAGATACAACAGGCATGGTGGCTCAGACCTGTAATGCTGATACTTTGGGAGCCTGAGGCAGGTGGATTGCTTGAACTCAGGAGTTTAAGACCAGCCTGCGCAAGAGTGAGACCCCATCTCTACTAAAAATAGAAAAACTAGCCAGGTATTGGGGCAATTGCCTTTAGTCTCAGCTACTTGAGAGGCTGAAGCCAGAGGATCTCTTGAGCCCAAGAATGTGAGGTTGCTGTGAGCTATGATGCCACAGCACTCTACCCAGGGGCAACCAAGTGAGACTCTGCCTCAAAAAAAAATTAAAAAAGAAAAAAAAAAAAACAACAAAAAAAACCTTCCTTCCCGGGCAACCCCCCCCAAACCAACCTCAAAAAACAAAAAACCGGTGAAAACCAACGGGGGCAAACCCCACCAAAAAGGAAAAATGCCCCTCAATCAACCAACTAAAAAAGGTTCCAACCCAATTAAAATCCTGGAAACCTAAAAAAAAAATCCACAATCACTAGTAATTTTTGTTTGTTGTGGTTTGACAGCACAATCGCTTTCACATCAGTGCCTTTGCATAGGTCTCCCCATCACCCTTATCTGCCCCAACCCTGACCACCCAGGCCTGTGGCTGGTGGTTACCATACCTGCACCTGAATGTCAGCTGTAGAGGTGGTAAAGCCCACAGGTGAGGAGCAAGCACGTGACACTCGTTGGGGTCCCCAGTACTGTTTGTAAAGGACTTCAGCGGTCTAGCCTGAGAACCTACGTTGCTCCTCTAAAGAGCCTATGGAACCGGGTGTTCCAAGCAAAAACCAATTCCTCCTGTCTTTTCTTGGAAACATTTACCATTTGCAAGTTCAGGTGAAATGGTCTCATTACTTTCTATTCATCCTTTTACAAAGGGCTCTTTGAATCTATTTGTGTGTCTAGGTCATTTTAAACTGGTATAACTTCATATTAATTTTTCCCAAATAGTTTTGACAAAATCACATGGTTTTCATAAGAGTTCCCTTTCCATTCTTTTTTTTCTTTAAACTTAAAACTATACGTAGATTTATCATTGATACAAAACACAAAAATCAACAGTGGCCGGTATTTCTCTTGGGTCACTCATAACTGTGTATAAAATTGCTAACAGAATTACTTTCTACCCGTGCTTTTTATAATCACTGGTTACTGATCACTGGTTAGGATCACTGGCTTCACCAAAAGGATCACCTTTATGCTGAGAACTGGGGCAACCAACTTACTGCCAACAGAATGGGGGGAGGTCACGTAGCTGCCACCGGGGAGACCTCTGTTATCCGTATGCTGCTGCAGTTACACAACACAGACATCAATCTGAAACAATGTCAGGATGCAAAGCTCCGCACCTGTTATGCATTGCAACCATTCCTAACTTCATACTGCCGAAGACGCCTGGCTGCCTAACAGCGTGTCGGTGTTTCTTTCTGCTGTGAGAAATGTACTCACCCCAAGGAGTAGAGGCGACACTGCTTGCTGCGGATTTGATGAGCTAAGCCAAACCTGTCGTCAAGACACACTGACCAAGGCTTCTGTGCAGGGCTGGAATCAGTAGCCAGGCTGTCTGTATTCATGTGATCGCATGCAATCTGGAAGGATTGGAAATCAATGTGAATAATTTAAAACCCTGGATGATAAACGGCAGGTAGGGACTTACTGCTTCCTCAGGCCCTGAAAACCATAATAGGAGAGTTATATCCTTCTCTCCTAACTACTCCCCTCTCCAAGGAGCTACAAGACTGCTGTAAAATGTCTGGAGGGATTTCAATTACCAGATAATAAGTAACCTCGCAGAGGCCATATGCAGACTTGAAGGGGAGTCAAGAGCTGCTCCAGCCACGTGCTTACGGTGTACAGGAGAGAACAAAGCCACTGCAAAGATGGGAGGGCTGGGGTCAGACAGGCTTTGCAGAGGTGTGAGTGTCTGGGAGGATGGACAGAGGTGGACCTAGAGGCTCAAACCCAGGGCATTCGTGACACAGAGGACAGTGACCACAAAGCATAGAAGTCTCTGTTACTCACAGGGGCCCTGCTACAAGATGTGAGATACAGTCAGAGGCACAGATCTCAGAAGGATACTCACAAGATTCTTTACCCCTTATTTCAGGCAGATAAGGTAGGGCCACTAAGGTCCAGAAAGGTGGCAGATGTTCCCCAAGGTAAATAGCTGATCATGGGTCAAGTGGAATTAATGGCAGTGCCTGCGGAGGAGACAGCATCCTCTGTGACGTGCTGCTCTAATGAGCTTCCTCCTGAGGAAAGAGGGCAAGAGCCCCAGGCAGGAACCTCTTCCTGAGCTAACCAAAGCACTTCTCTTAACTCATCCATCAAAATTAGATAAGAAAACCAAAGGGAATGCATAGCGAAGTCAAGCAGAAGCAAGTCTCTAACTTCAACTGCACATTAAGCAGAAATAGACGTCAGAAGGGGTTCTGACTCGTGTGTGAGGCTGGGACATTTTGCATGGCTGCGGCTGTTGGAAACAAAGAAAATAAGTTCCGTGGACAAGATATTTACCTTACCGAGCGACAGTCTTTCCCCCCAACCCCTCAGAATGCTCAGAGTCATCATGATGCTCTATGAATGCAGCAGCTCTTGCCAGCACATCCTAGATAAAAGACCACTCCAGATGTTTGGGGGTTCCTTGCTTTCATTCATTGGAAAATGGAACAGCCAGCAATATTCCTCTGAAGCAGACATCCTGGCTTGCCTCAGCCTTTTATTTAACTGACTTTCCAAAATTCTAATGAAAGAAAAGCATATTATGTAGAGCCTATTTAACTAACACAGCATCTGCATGACTCTTGCTGTAACCTAGGACCTGCCTGGCAAAATCATCCTGGCCCCATTTACCAAAAGTTCCAAAATTGTAAGGGCCACTGACTGTGACACAGTCTTTTGCAAGGATTTGGACGTCTCAGAGAAAAGATGAAAAAGTGAAACTCTTAGACAGTAGAACCTCTGTAAGCTGACCACCCAAAGGTGCTGTCACAAACTGGTCAACATAGAAAGTGGCCAACATAAGGAACGAGGCCTGCTGTGCTGACACGTACATGTGGTGCACGTCCGGTCTATGAAAATTAGGTGAACGTAAGAGGTGGTCAGTGTAGGGAGGGGGCCAACTATGGAGCTTCCACTGCATATTCTCTTCCTTCAACCCAAGTATCTTTCTACTTCTCTATTTCCAACCACTGTTTAAAGGGAAAAATGATAGCAGAAAATGGAATCAAATCTTTTCTCCAGCATCTACTACAGAATACATGTATTAGCTGAGTGCATCAGCATGTTAAGTTGTATAATTCATCTCCTACTATTCTCCCACAGATAAGTGGAAATTATGTCTCTGCCCGCCCGCCTCCTATTCCCTGACCCACTCAAGGGAAGGTAAGTTGCTAACCTAATTAATCAGGGCTCAGCGTGTTCATTGGGCCAGTTCTACTAGTGGAAAGATTACTATATCCTAAACATTAGTCCTTTCCCTAGCACTCAGCTCCATGCTTTGCATCCAGCAGGAAGTTACTTAATCCAGGGCAGACCTGTGGGCCCCCAGCACATGCCTGGACTTCAGAAGCCTGAGCCATTCCTCCAGGGAAGCATCTCAGGGTGTTTTTGTTAAAGGGGCATATGATTCCCATTTGCTGTTGCTCTTTGTGTGCTCTTCTCTTTTTTTTTTTTTTTTTTTTTTTTTTTGCAGTTTTTGGCTGGGTTTGAACCTGCCACCTCCGGTTTTATGGGGCCAGCGCCCTACTCCTTTGAGCCACGGGCACCACCCTCTTTGTGGGCTCTTCTCCCTCCACATCACAGATCAGGATGTGGATGTTCACCAGTCCCTGTTCATAATGCCTTCCAAATACCATCAAAACCTAACTCTAGCCTTTTCCAGTTTTTATCAAGGTGTGGTCCTCCTGGATCAGAATCACCTGGGAGGTACTTAAAATACAGATGCCTGGGTCCCACTCCAGATCTGCAAAAGCTGACTCTTTGAGGCTGACACCTGGGAACATGCATTTTAATACACTGTCCTAGGTGATTCTTATACAGATGGTCCTGTGGGTATACTGGAGGCCTTTTGTAAAGCCCCAACAAAATGTTTCAAATTAAGAAAAGAAGCTATTCTTGGGGCTAGAGCTTTAAACTGAAAACAGCAGTGCCTTTGACCCTACCCCTAACAAAGAGCTGAAGGGGTCGGCATAGACGACTAACTAGAGGCCTCTAAGGTCAGTAAGTACTAAGGGCCAAGACTCAGGGCTTGGAGGTCCAGCTGCTGCTCCTTTGTCCAAGTCAAAGACTAGTGTTTTATTCTGTTCTACTTTAAGCATTTTTAATTATTCCGCAGATTTCATCTTGCACAGATATATATATATCTCTACTGGAGAGACATTCTTTTCCATTCAGTCTCTCTGACAATGTTCACCCTTCTCTCTAAGCTCTAAAATAAAACACAGGAGTTATTCAGTTTTAACCATTTATTAACCATCTCACTGATAGGCATTAGCTTTTGAAAACAACTAAAAGTCCTCCATAAAATTCCACTCCTAAAAATTAATTAAATATTGATTTTTTTCAAACTTTCTAGCTAAGATTTATGACCAAGGCTTCCATAAACTCTCTTACAAGCAAAACAAGTGAGGGCAGTAACTTCCAGCTAAGCTCCAACTCAGCTAACCATGTTCTCTGTCTAATTTCTCCTTGTAACTTTAGCCATATAAAGCAAGTTAGGCCTGGACAAAGGTAAATGAACTTTACCTTTTGGGTAAAGGAAAAAATATTTTCTGAAATTTGTTTAGTTAGTTGAATTAAATGGATATAACTTATTTCTGTTTCATTCTGTATCCCAAAAGCTTACATAGCATTTCTGCCAAGCCGTAAGTAGAATCTGGCAAAGGAAGCTCTTAAAATTTTGGAACTTTTGGCAAGAATCGCTTCAGTGATCAACTGTATATTTATACAGTACCATTATTTTTGAAAAGCTCAAGGGCAGAAGTGTAGATTTTATTGTTTTTATTCTGAGATGTGTGCATGTATGGCAGTAAATATAATAGATATTGTTGTTGGAAAGTTGTAGTCCAAGTCTCCAGAGTTTGGGTTCTGAGGGCATTCTTACAAATAGATACGTAGATAACCAGGCAGATGGATGGATGGACAGAAAAACAGATGTTTAAATACATTATTTTTTTTTTTACTTAAAAAAAAACACCATTGCTTAGATTAATTTTGTACTGTGAGGCATGCTTCCTGGAGGCATATGGTTTGGGGGTTGACATAAAAAGCTGAATCTGGAGTCTTCCCTTCAGAACAGAGCACTGTGTTTATGACTTAACCATTTCATGTCAGCGGCAGTGTATCATCCGCTGCAGAACTTTGCCTTTCAAGTTAGGAAAAACAATAATACCTCCTTAAACAGAGCTTGACATTCCGCACACTCTACCCAAATACCATATCCTCTGGTCCACTGTTTCACTGAGAAATGCACAGCCTCAACCATGCCTCCATGGTCACTGCAATGGACACATGGGGTACCACGCCCACTTCTCTCTATTGCTAGGCCTCCCCATGCCCTGTGCCTCTGTTCCCAAGCTCCTTGGACCTTGAAAGCCTTCCTCACCCATCCGTACACTCCCTGTAAGAGAACACGTAACTCTCACACCCTTGCCATTTACCAGTGTGTGAGAATGTTTGAAGAGCGACATCCCAGTGCCCAGCACAGTGCAGGCCACAGAGCGAGTGCTCAACAAATGCCTGCTGAATCAAGGAATGAATAAATCAAGGATGACCTTATCAAAGGCTGGGCCTTGCTGTACAAGCTTGAACACAGATTTGAGAGAAATAATTTTTTAATATGTGCTTTATAAAGTAGCATAAGAGAATGGGGGTGGAATTCACTTTAGTAACTTCAGAGGTTTTATTTTTTTCTTGCCCATTATGACTCACTTCTGCGAACTGTGAAAATTTTAGGTAACAGTGACTCTAATATTCTGCCAGTTTTGCAAGCTTTCATTGTCAAGATGAGTTCTAAATGAGGCATAAGCCACAAAAGCAGCCCAAAAAACTCCACGTGACATAGAGAGGGGGGAGGGAGCATGGGTTAGTGAAAGATTCTGATTAAGAACCACTTAGTGTCATCTTTGATGGCTCCCACCTGCTGGCCTCCTAGTAACCCGGAAGTTCATCAAAGCACAGTACCTTACTTGGATAAAATGGGCCCTGATTGTAAAACCACTGTAAGGTCTGGAACTTTATCTCATTCTTTCTGGAGAACAAAAACCCTTCTAGTGAGCCTCAACAACCAATTCTCTATTCTTAGAGTCATCAAGCTGAGCAATAATTGTGCATCCATTTCTTTGCCTTCACAACTACTTTATCAGATCCTTGGGAGCAGAGACTAGGGCCCAGCACAATTCCCGGCCATGTGTAGGCTCTCAAAAACACTTGGTTAACAACAATTCTCTCCTACTCTGTGCACAGTACAACGGTACAGAATTGGGAAGGAGGGAACTTAGAAATAGTTTGATACAATCTCCTCCATTTCAGGATCAGAACAAGAGCCAGAAAAGCAAAGTAAATTGCCTAGGTTTTGTAACATCAGATTACATCATCACATCGTGGGATGCTGCTTTTTTTTTTCTAGAATTTTTCTCCTCTCAGCCCTTAGCAGAGGGGAAAGATCCAAGAGGGGTCTAAACTGACCATTTCATGCCTCAAGAGCTTCTTCTAAGTAAATGTACCATTTATTTTATAGAACATAAATGTGAAATATATATACATGTATATATATGAAACGAAATTTGGAGGCTTGCACTAGGTAAATTTATCTGGGGTGGGGTGCCCAAGCCCACAGTTCTCAAATTCAACTCATAAATTTAACACCTCTTGTTTTTTTTCTCTGGGACCTTTAAGGGCTTTTTAAAGTCACAATTAAGAGGTCCAAATTCTTATCCCCCATGTAAAACCAAATTGCAAAATTAAAATTTCAGTATTTTAATTAAGTCTATACAAGTCTACCAAATTAATTTGCCACAGGAAAACAAGATAAAATTATGTGCCGCCTAGGGACCACTTCATGCCAATCCCTCATGATTAATTCAACAAGCTTTTATTCCCATGTTTGGGTGACAAATATTAAAATCCTCACGATTATCTGACTGCATCGTAAAAGAAATGGGACTTTCTTTTACCCCTAAACTAGCTCCCTAAAGATGTAAAAATATACTCTCTCCCATGCATGAGTGAGGTTGGGGAAGAGAAGTAGGATGCCAAGAGCCCAGCTGAAGGAAGATTTAAAGAATCCAGGATCCCCCTGCACCAGCAGCCCCACCGCACAGCTCCCCCAGTGGGCCTGGCTCAGCTCACCGGCAGTCTGAACTCCTAATTTACTAGCACCTCTCAGTTAAGGGCTAACTATCCCTGGGGCCTTGATTTCCTCTTCTGTCTCTCTTTCCCCCAGGATCAGGCAACTTGAGAACGAACCTCCTGATTAACGTGTCAAGAGCCGTAGACTCTGCTTAATGGACAGTCTCTTTTCCTCCTTGGGGCACTGGCTCGGCCTTCAGCTGGGCAGAAGCTGCCACAGTGTGTTAAGTCTCTAACAACGGCCGGCACTCAGTAATGATTTAAGCCGCTCTAAGGACAGAGAGCCTTTGGATTCATTAACTTCTCAGCACACTGCCTGCAAAGTCTCCTCTGCTCTCTTGCCTAGCACGTCCCTGGCTGCCAAGCATCTGTGGCAGAAGAGTGAAAAGGCAAATTCCTCCAAATACAAAATGGAACTTGAGCCTCCAGATGATGGTTTTGTTTTGTGACACACTTGACTGCCTACTCACGGGGACCAATCTGTCGTTTCAAATGGTTTTCCAAGGCAATTTTCTAAAGTGGATCTTTAAAACACTATGGGATGAATCATTAAAACATTTCAGGTTGATGGTACTCCTGGAAGGAAGAAGGTGCCCGAGCAAATGGAAGGCATCTCTTCTGCCTCCAGTGAGGGGATGAAGTGAGCAGGAGTGGCTCAGAAATCACAGTCCATAAAGTCCCTATCAGGAGTCGCTGAGAACCTCCCCAGCCCCTGACTGACAAATCCTTGTTTCAGATGAGCAATCTAAACCTTTGTCATTATCCTCAAACCCACATGAGCCTGAAACACAACCTGGGTGGTGCTGATGTATCTCAGGAACCTCCAGGCTTCTTCATCCAGGGACTGAGCGGGGCCTGCCCAAGGCTGGAGATGGATATGCCACCGGGGACCCTGGGAGAGACACAACACAGGGAGCGTAAGGCACTAGAAGCTTGGTGGGGAAGGGAAGGACACAGAGGAGAGGGAAGTGAGGCTGTTTCAGCTGTCAGCAAAACAAACACATGTGCACACAGGCTCCGGGGCTCTTAGGAAGCTGCTGTCATTAAGGCCACGTCAGTTATAGGGAGACAAATGGGGCATGAGACAGCCCAGCTCCCAGGTTAAGCACAAGATTGCAAAGGCCTTAGGGACTGTCTGGCTCCAGACTATGATCAAAGGCAAACTTCCCTTGACCCCATCACACTCTCCCTTAACTGTGGCTTTAAATTACATGAGGCCACTCCCTGTTCAGAAGAAAAACCCCTTATCCATTACAGTTCCCCAAAGCTTAGAGCTCCGAGGATATGTGCCTCCCCCCTTAGAAATGGGAGGTAAATGACATATGTACACGGACATAGAGTGTGGAATGACAGACACTGGGGACTCCGAAGGATAGGAGAGTGGGAGGGGAGGGGAAATGAGAAATTTCTTAATGGCTGCGATATACATTATTCAGGTGAGGGATACAATAAAAGCTCAGACTTCATCACTACACAACATATCCGGGTAACAAATCTGTACTTAAATTTATATAAGTAATAAAGAAAAGAAGTTTGGGGAAAAAATATGTGCCTCCTTACAGACTGGTTTTGTAGGTTACAGCACTATAATGCTGGAGGCTTGTCTTTGTGGAGAAGAAATATTCAGGGCTCTTGGTTATCCTTTTCAGTCCAGGGAGACGGGGTAATGCCATCTGGTTGCAGGTGAGGACCAAGAGCTGTCCCCACCAGGGCTGCAAAGGGTGGCCTTCCAACTGTGAGGCAGCCTCCACATTTTAGCAGGAGACAAGAGGAGCTCCCCTGACCAGAGGGGTTGGAATGACCTTCCCTACTGACCCCGGCCCCCATCTTTTGCTGCGAGGATGAGTGGATGAAGGGTTGGGAAAGCCAGTGGTCTGGAAGAAGCAAAAATAGAAACCCCTCCCACCAAAAGGAGGCCCTGTCAGATAGTCCTGGCTGGAGCCCAGAGCTCCCCACCTATAGCTATTACCACCTGGACATCTCCCGGAGGGTCACCATGATTCCAAGGGGAGGGGAGGGCTCAGCAGGAGAAACGCCAGTGGCTGGCAGGAGTTTCCAGTGGCTGTTCAGGATGCCTCTGAATGTCAAGTGTCGGGAAAGATACGGGGTATCACAGCACAGAGGTTCCTGCAAAGTGGTTAGGAGGGGTCCCTAAGCCTCTCTCATGCTGAGGAAGGGGTGAGGGGGGAAGGTGTTTCTAGGAATAAGATAAAGTTACCATTCACATATACACATTGTTCCCTAGTCAAATACTGTGGCAAGAAATCTCTGTTACCCAAAAAAGATACATCTAAACAAGCTAGCCCTGGGACACTTCAGTACAAGTATGGTATGTTGGGGTGGCAGAGGTGACCTGGGGTTAAACTGAAAATAAGCAACAGGGCAGGATCAGGAGGGTTGGTCATTGTGAAGCAAGGTGGCTGGGTTTGAAAAAGAGGAACCCACTCTGGGGTGAGGGTCTGAGGTCAACTCAAATGCTTTGGAAGTGACAAGTGGTCCTCCAGGTTGGGTGGTACTGGACACTATCATTGCAGTCACTGGAACCGGTGGTCTTAGCATCCCAATGGCCTATACTGCCCTTGTAGTTGCCAAGCATGGTGCAGTCCCTCGAACTGAAAGACCCCTCCCTGCTTCTGCATTTTGTCCAAGAATCCATATAGCAGGGCTGGCTTCATGGGTGTGCAACCCATCCAGTCTTAGGAGGGCTGTGCTTGGTTTAATGCTGTGTCGACACATCTTGAAATTCTTAATAACTTTTTTTAAAATCAAATCTTACTCTATTGCCCAGGCTTGAGTGTCACGATATCAGCCTCGCCCACAGCAACCTCAAATTCCTGATTTCAAGCAATCCTCCTGCCTCAGCTCTAAGCAGCGGGGACTATAGGTGCCTGCCATGATAACAGGCTAATTTTTCTATTTTGAGTAGGCTGGTCTTGAACTCCAGAGCTCAAGCAATTCTCCTGCCTCAGCCTTCCAGAGTGCTAGGATTATAGGTGTAAGCCAATGGGCCCAGCTCTTGATAACTTTATTTTTTTTTATTGTTTATTGTTTCAGGTTAATTTGAAGAATTATGTTACAATGTTTCCACTTGTTAGGTACAGTCCCCCTTATGATTGTGTCCTGCCCCCCCCCAAGAGGTGTGCCATCCACCCTAACATCGTGCCCAGTAAGTGGGAGCACACCCATCCTCTCCCTCCTCCTCCTCCCCATTCCCACATTCGCCCAACCCCTACCTTTAACTGACGCGAGTTTTTCTCTTATGTGGGTGTGTATTAGATAAGAGGTCCCACATTTTCTTTTACACTGGACCCCACAAACTTTGTGGCCATTTTTCCCTGAGGGGCACCCTTTCTGGGGGGATAGCCTTTCACATTACTGATCCTGCTCTCTGAAGGTGGAGCAGAGAGACCTGGAGGATGTTAGCTAATACATCTTCCGCTTACTGCTTCCACCCCCTTATTTATTTTTCCCTTCTCCGAATTAGATGTTGATTG